TGATCTTAGGCTGAATGTTTTCCATTTTTTAGTACTGAGTATGACATTAGCTATGGGATTGGGTGTATGTGTATATGTGCATGTTTATGTGTATGATAGATGCCGTCTACCAGGTTGAGGGAGTTGCTTTCTATTCCTAGCCTGTTGATTGACTTTATCATAAAGGGTGTTAGATTTTGGCAGAGGCTTCTTCTTCATCAACTGAAATGATCAAATTAATTTTTTCCCTTCTCTCCTTTTGCTCCCACTTCCACTGGGACTCTGAAGGGTTGCAGCTGTCTCTTCCTTGAGAGCAATTCTTTTTCTTTTTTTTTTCTTTTTTTTTTTTAAGATTTTATTTATTCACGAGACATACAGAGAGAGGCAAAGACATAGACAGAGGGAGAAGCAGGCTCTGCCATGCAGAGAGCCCTATGCAGGACTCCATCCCAGGACTCCAGGATCATGCCCTGGGCCAAAGGCAGGCACTCAACAACTGAGCCACCCAAGTGCCCCTTGTTTTGGATTTCTGAGGGTCTACCTGAGGAAATCAGGCAGCTGGAGAATAGAGCCTTCTAGAGCTGAGAGTATGGGGCATGTGTGGATCCCAGAGGTATCTCCAATTTCATGTGTCCTGCTATCTGTGAGATCCCCAAAAGGCTGAATTTGAATTGGACATGGAGGCCCTGACACCTGGCCAGGCCCTGAGATAGGGAAGCTCGCAGGCCATGCCCTTTGGTGGGCAATGGACATTAGGCTTGGGCAAACCTCCCTTGTTCATGTCATTCATTCATTCATACATTCATTCATTCATTCAGCACTGTGGGGGTCAAGTTCTGTAGAGCAGCGGTTCTGAAACTTGCTTAAGCAGAGCCTGCTAGGAATGGAGGTGCAAGGGATTCCTTGAGGGCAAGCTTCGCTATGAAATGTATGAGAGAGGATGGGAAGTGGAGAGAAGCTGGGCACACAGGAGGGAGCAGTAGAGGTGTGGCCTCGCTGGACCGCAGAAGAAGCTCTGGGCTGTCTGAGGATCAGGGCCAGGCTGTCACAGCCCCTTATCAGCCAGTCACTGTTTTGGGCTCTACTGGGGGGCACAGGTGAGGTGGCCTCCTCTGAGGAGTATGCAGGTAGAGGTCTGGGCAAGAATAGATAGCATGTACTGAAAGCACCTACTGTGTGCCAGGCATCACTCCTGGCCTTGTCTATATGGCAGTAATGAGCATGTGCCTACCCTCCTGGCCCTTGACATCCTTCTGGAAGGGACAGATAGCAACAGAGACATATGTCAGGTAGAGACAGGTGCTGTGCAGAAAGATGAGGCAAGGGTGGGGGTGGGGGTGGGAGGGGGGTGCCCAGTGGGGGTACTTCAGATGGGGAGATGAGGATAGGCCTGGTGGATGGGTCTAAGTCCTCATTTTAGGACTGATGGGGAGGGGCTCCTGTTTCATGGATGTGGAGTCAGGATGGAAGTAAAGGGCCGTGCCCAAATTCACCAGCAGTGGCAGAGACCTGAGTTGGACCAGTCTGATTCTGAGGAGGACTGCTGAGCCCTGTCCCCGCCCCGCTTCCATCTAGCCCATCTCTCAATGCCCTTGCCTGGGGCCAGGCTCTCAGAGGGCCTGACCTGGCAGAACTGGGCGCTTTCATCTCCACCTGCTATGCGCACGTCCCAGATAAAGTATCTGCCCTCCCTCTGTCGTGCCCCCACACGGCCCCATCCTCCAGGGCCTGGTCACCAGCCTGCCCCACCCCCTCATTTATTTTTCACCCTGGCCACTCGTAGTTTTTCTAGAGCAGCACTATCCAACAGAACTTTCTGCCATGATGGAAATGTTCTAGAAGGGCTCTGTCCAGGAGCCGTTAGCCACATGTGGCTACTGAGCACTTGAACTATGGCTAGTGAGACTGAGAAACAAAATTCTATTTTTTTAAATTGAAGTATGGTTTTTTTTTTTAATCAAAGTCACAAAATTCTAATTAAAATTTTTAAAATTAATTTTAAAGTGAACCCAAATAGCCATGTGTGGCTGATGGCCACTGGATTGGACAGCACAAGTCTAGATCATCAGTAGGCAGTGTCACTGCCTTGTGCAGAAACCACCGCTGGGCCCGGGAGAAGGCTGACACGTCTAGCACCCTCTTTCACGGCCGGAAGTGGAGATGCGTTGGCAGATGTGCACCTTCTCCCAAGGGACCTGGTCCCCTTGGCTAAATCCCAGATGTGCTTCTGGTGACTTTATGCCTGGCTCATGTAAAATTCATTTTCTAGCCTAGGAGGTTCCCCGTTGGTCCCACATGACTGTAGCTTTTCAAAGATCAGTACGTGTTATGTAAAAAGTAAAGCAGGCTGCTGGAGGTTTGTGGCCAGGAAGTTTGGGAAACGGGGCGAAACGAAGTTAAACAGGATTCTTCACTGTGAAATTTAGAGCCTTTAACACACCAGAGGGTGTTGTGAATTTCCAGGAGGCGGACAACATAAGATGTTTCCCAGACTTGTTTGACGCGGAACCCTTTCCTGATGGAGAGCTGAGCTAGACAGTCATTGTGGAACGTACTTTAAAAAATGCCCTTTTCATGGTTTTGCATCTATGTTGGACCCCTCAGGAGGCAGGATAAGGTTTCATTTCCTTTCCATCCTTATTCCCTGCTAGTTTGCTGAGGCGGAGAGGGAGGCAGGGACCTAGTGTGTTCCCTCAGTGACTCATTTAGTTTTATAGTTTTAATTCATAGCAAACGGTGGCTCCTTGCCTCCCATGTGCCAGGCCTATGCTGGGCTGTGGGACTGGTGTGCTGAACGCATAGAGCTGGCCGCCTTCCGCTCCCTGGGTCTGTCCCCCATCACATATGTGCACGCACACACATATGCCACATGCACACAGACGTAGACAGGTCTTGGAGCTTTCCAACCTTCCTGCTCTCAGCCCTAGCACCCCCACCTCCTCCCAGGTCCTGTGGGGCCTCCATGTTGTACAACCAGAGGGCTGGGGCTGAGGAAGGCTGGCTGGGTACCTCTTTTCAGCCTGCAGGTGGCAGAGGTTCCATGGGCCCTGCTCACCAGCTCCTTTACTTGAGTGAGGTAGCCAAGTGAGCTTCCCCAGCCTTCAACTGTCCTCAGCCTTGGTGGCCTGGAAGGGGTGGCCACACAGGTGGTTAGTGCAGTTCAAGGCAGCATGGGTGCCCAGCATACCCGGACCCTGACAATGTCTTCCCTTTTGGCTGGGGTGGCTGCAGTGGCCCCTACAAGGTTGACATGGGTCCTGTCCCGGCCATGAGTGGTGCTCTCTGGCTAGGAAGCCTGCCAGGACTTTCTCAGGTGTGTGCCCTTTGTCTGCCTCACTCCATCCTTGGCCCTTCCCTCTCTGCTGACTCCTTTCCCTCGTTGAACAAACCTTTCCTGCCCTAAATCTCCTCTCCCGGTGGGGGAACCCAGTGGCAGTGCTCCCTGTCCTCAACACCTCTCTCTCTCTTTTTAAAAATATTTTATTTATTTGTTCATAAGAGACACAGAGAGAGGCAGAGACACAGGCAGAGGGAGAAGCAGGCACCATGCAGGGAGCCTGATGTGGGACTTGATCCCTGGACTCCAGGATCATGCCCTGGGCCGAAGGCAGATGCTCAACTGCTGAGCCACCCAGGGATCCCAGCACCTCTCCTTGCTTATTCCTTCCTGAAACTTCTCTCTGCCTGGCCACCTGAATGCCCTACCTCTGCCCTGCCCTAACCTGTCCCAGAACAGCCCTCAGTTGTCCCAGTGGGCTACACTTCTGGGCCTTACCCTTTAGGGGTGGAGTGTTGTGGTTCCAACCTTGCATCCTTGACCCCTCTGTCTGCCTATCCCTCTTCTATTGTCTGTTAACTGTTCCCCTCTCACCTCTCTGGGGCCCTCATCATCTCTGGCTTCCCCCCCACCCTCTGGGGGGCAGTGGCTGCTTCTATTGGAGTTCTCCTACATGGTCCTCCTGGTGTGGCCAGAACAGCTTGGGAAAGCATTGTCTGATGGCTCTCTGCTGCTCTGGCGAGGCTATCTGAGAACAGTCTCTGGCAGCCCAGGCCCTACGTGACAGGCACGGTCCTGTCCCAGCCGCACCCAACTTCTCGGGAACTTGGACTTGCTTTCCGTCTGCCAGCAGGTGTCTTTCCTTTCACCTTGACCCTGATATCTGGGCAACTTTGTTTCACTTTCAAGGTCACTGCCTCCAGAATGCCTCTCTGCTCCCACCCGGACACAGACCGTGCTCTCCATCGAAGGCTTTGTCGCATTTAAGCGCCTCCTCACTAGTCTCCCCCTTGGCACCTGCTGCCCAGCAGACACTCAGTAAATATTTGCAGAGGGCCCTGGGCCCCACTGAGGTCCTGCCTGGGTGAGAGCAGACGACGCAGATGCAGGTACATCCCCAGCCAGGCAGGAGATGGTTCAGGATCTGGGTGCATGGACGTTTGCCCAGGGGCCTGGGCAGGGTCATAGGGAAGGCTGTGTCCTGATCTGGGGGCAAATGCCTTTTGGGTACCCTGGGCCCTCCTGCCTCAGCAGCCGAGATGAGGGCCTGATCCCCCTTTGGAGGGAGATCTGATTCCCGGTGCATGAAGAGGTCATGCTGTGCCAGGAGAGCAGGAGACCTGGGCTTCCAGTGCTGACGCTGCCAGTGACTCACTGTGTGACCTTGGAAAGAAAGATCTTCCCAGGTCAGGGCCTCAGTGTCCCCCTCCTTTTGTACAGTGGGCAGGCTGGGCCAGTGCTGGGTCTGCCAACCCCTGTGACTTGCAGCTCTTGTTGTGGGCACAGGAGGGCAGCCAAGAGCTGTGGAGCACAGAGGAAGGGACCGACAGTTTTAGGGAAACTGCTCTTTCCCGAGCCCAAAGCTGGGTGGGGGGCTCTCATTTCTGACCAGTTTGACAGTCTGCCAGACTGGAAGTTCCAGGGCACCTTGAAACCGGCACTACAAGGAATCGGATTTCCCAGCTGCAGCCTCTGAGCTCTGCCAGCAGTGGGAGGCCAATGGCCTGCGTCTCTCCCTCCGCAGTGGTCCTTCGCTGTTGCGACCATCACAGAGATCCCCCCTGTCATCTTCCTCCCGAACTTCCTTGTGCAGAGGAAGGTGCTGAAGCCCCTTCGGACCCAAACAGGAGGAACCATCATGGTAGGTGGGGAGACTGGCAGAAGGACCTGCTGGGCTTGGGACCCCCACACCTCTGGGCTTCCCCCCCCCACCCCGCTGGAATATGCTCCTCCTTCTTGGTAATTGCATAAAATCCTAAATAGTCCCCCAGGCACAGCAACAAGGACTTTTTCTCCCAAAGCCTCTCCCACGTGCTCTGCTGCCTTGGGGACACTGAATTCCTTGTTCCTCCGCCCCCCCCCCCCATTGGAGTTACCATATTTGCTGGTATATAAAGACATGTCCCTATGCCCCAGAGAGTATATAATCAAACTGGCACCCATATACTCAACTCAAGGTGGAAAAGCAAACCCCCATGACTTCAGTGATGGGTCATGCTCTGCTCACCTGGCATCATGGGTATGGCAGTAAAGAGCACTTGCAGCAAAATGAGGTTTCACATCCCCTATGTAGTTGTCTGTAAAACACACAGAGAGAGGCAGAGACACAGGCAAAGGGAGAAGCAAGTTCCCTGTGGGGAGCCCAATGTGGGACTCGATCCCTGGACCCCGGGATCATGCCCTGGGCCAAAGGCAGACGCTCAACCACTGAGCCACCCAGGTGTCCCAACATTTCAGCTTTAAATGTAGGATGACCTAATCCAGGGCTGGATCAAGACCTGTTGATCCTGATAGTTTTCTTTCTAGCTTTGCAAATTTGTACCTTTTTGTTTATTTCTTGAGGTATTACTGCCCACCCCTAAATGATGATTTCTTATAGGATTTTGGTATTCAGGCTGCTGTATTTCCATGGGGAAAAAAAAAAGTCTATTTTCCCTTTGAAGGCCCTGTTAAGATCATTGTCAGCTCACATGTGATCATAACCACTTTGATATCTTCCAGTTTCTTTGCATAATTGCAAAGGGGCTGATGTACTGCACATCTCATATGCCAGCCGACCCGGTACTTACTTCCAAGCCTGAGTCCGAGCTTGCTGGAGGGTGGGTACCGCCTGAACCCTACCTTATAGGTCAGCCCTACGTCCCACTGACTGGACCTAGTGTCTATGGAATGAAGGAGCGAATCCTGAATGAGTGAGTGAGGGAAACAGTTGCCTGTGCCTCTCACCCTGTGCTTGTCTCCAAAGGCAGGGAAGCTGGCCATGGAGCGAGGCTGGGCCATCAATGTGGGTGAGTGCCCTGGCCAGCCTGGCCTGCTGGGTCCTGGGGGCTGGGAGGGCCAGGCAGCTGCTCTGTGAGGCAAGGCTCTGGTGCCTCCAGAGCCACCCCGAACCTCCTTATTAAGTGGGATGGGGGACAGTATGCAGTCATCTGGTGTCTGGGAGGGATCAACCAGTGCCTCCATCTGGTGTGGAATCCTTCTCTAAAGGAGTTCCCCAGCTCTGCCTTTGCATACTTCCAGTGACAAGGAGCTCACTCCTCTGCAAAAGCCTGCATCATCACCTGGGCAGATGAATGGGGCTCAAACCTGCAGCATTTCAGTCTTTTCTGAAAAACTCCCATCAGCCTCCTGGGACCCAGGACCACCTGCAGGGGTTTGGTCACATGATGGGCAGACAGGCCTGGGTCAATACCATGTCCTCCTCGGGGACCTGAAGGCTGATAGTCTGCGGTTCCCCGGACTCCCCTGTAAGCCTGGCTCATGGGATGGCCACACATATCTTCCTTGTCCCTTATCTGTCCCTCACTGAGGCGCAGCACTTCACAGTTAGCACACCTCTTTGCTGTCTGGCCTCTCATCTGAGCTGGGCATCATTGTTGTTGATCCCACTGTACTGACAAGGACACAGCTATGGGGAGCAGCCTGGTGGCTTGCTCAGAGTCTGGAGCAGAGGACCCCTACTTTGCCTGTGAGCTCTGCAAGGCCAGGGGCTGGGGCTTTTCCAGGTTGGCATTGCCAGGTACCCAGCCTTAGGTCTGGCATAACTGTGATGTTATGATAGACTGCTGAACAGATGAATGAAAGAGGCACACTCTGCACGTCTACAGCAGGGTCCTCACAAAGACCCAGGGAAGCCCTTCTCCCGTGGAAGGTGTTGTGACCTGACAGTTAAGAGCCCAGGCCCGGATCCAGCCTGGGTTTGAATCTTGGCTCTGCCGTTAGTGAGCTGTGTGATCCCAGGCGAGGTGCTGAGTTTCTGTGTGCCTCAGTTTCTTCATCTGTAAAATGGAGATGATGGTACTAGTGCCCCCTCTTGGAGCTGTAGGGAGGTTTCTGTAAGTTCTGTGCCCAGTCTGGGAGTTCACAATTGGCTGTTATCTCACTATTAAGATCTGTTGGTGTGAAAAGAGGCGAGTCCTTTGTAGCCAAGGGTCCTGGATTTGAACTGCTGGGTGGGACAGTTGTTGGGCTTAGTTTCAGAGGCCCCTGATACTCGAGTTCTTTTTGTAGGGGTTGCAGGGCAATGGGCTCTCAGGGTGGGGGAGAAGCAGGGGCCAGATCCTGGTGTCCAGGGCCTCCCCATTGCCATAAGTGGCCATGACCAACAGAAGGTGCCCCTCCTGGCCATCACTTTCTACCACCTGCAGAATGTGGGTGATCCCAGAGTAAACGGGCCCCCATAGCCCCACCATCCCTTCCAGGCATGGGAAGTCACATAGAGGTGGCCTGGCCCTACAGAGGCAAGGAACAACTTTTTGCCTTGGGCCCCTGGGGGTTGTGACGGGTAGTGGGGGGGGTGACTTGTCAGGACCACCCTGAGAGGGTTTGTGCTCTGGGCAGGGATAGCCTTGATGACAAAACTGTCTTCATGACTCGGGGTTCTCAGTTCATTTTGCCAACCTGGAGTTCCTGGAGCCTGGCTGAGCAGGACTGGGATACGGGCAGGATGTAGGGGCAGGGGAGTGCCTGGCTCTGACCACACCGTGTCTGCCTTCCCACAGGTGGAGGCTTCCACCACTGCTCCAGTGACCGGGGCGGGGGCTTCTGCGCCTATGCGGACATCACACTGGCCATCAAGGTGCGCCCGAGAGCACGTGGGGACTCGCCTCCAGGAGCCCTCACGGGGGTCCCCCCGCCACCCCCAGTTTGGTGTTCTCCTCCACATGACAGAGAAGGGAACTGAGTCCCAGGAGGGGAGGAAGCGTGCAGGTTGCCCAGGCAGTCACTTGCTCATCTGCATGGCCTGTTCTGCAGGGAGATCGCACAGCCTCCAACAATGGCAGGGACAGGAGACAGCAGCCTATTTGTCAACAATATAGGGAGCGCACTGCTCCCCCAGAGTGAGGAGCAGGTAGAAATAATGATGGGGATTGCAATGGCTGGTTCCGGCAGGCTCAGCCCTGCCCCAGCCTGCACTGGCCATGGTGCACCTCATTTATGCCTCACCTGTGCAGATGAGGAGACCCAGGCCCAGATAAGTGAGGGACAGGGCTCACACTGTCCCTGCTTACACCTCTGTGGGGTTGCAGAGCTCCCCTTAACCACCCTGTGCCTGGCCTGGTTCTGGCATCAGGAATGGCCTGGTGTGGTCTCTGTTCTCACAGGGCACACAGACTAATAGGGGCGGGGGGACAGGTCAGCAGACCCTGGCCATTCAGAGAGAGGGATACACGGGAGACCTTCCAAGAGGGTGGGGAAGGGGAAGGAAGACTTCCCGGAGAAGGCGGCATGAGAACTTGGCCTTGCAGGATAAGGCAGGGAACGCAGGATGAAGTTCCAGGCCCAGCCTTGAGGGAAGGTTTCCCCCTTCCAACCCCTAAATATTTCCTGAGGAATCCTGGGCTGTCCCTGAGGGCTAGCCTGACTGCCCTGCTCCTGACCTCCAGTCCTCTAGGTCACAGCACATGCTGCCTCCTCCAGGGAGCCTTCCCTGACCCCTCACACATGCTTCTCTCAAGCCACACAGTCCTCCTGGGCGTGTGAGGTCTTTGCCTGGTGGCCTGATTGTCCACAAGTATGTGTGGCCTCCCGCCTGGCCCTTTACCAACTAGGAATCCCCGGGGCTGTGTCCTCTGGCTGTGTGGGTTCTCACTGCCCCCCTCTCTTCCCCTGGCAGTTTTTGTTCGAGCGAGTGGAGGGCATCTCCAGAGCCACCATCGTTGATCTTGATGCCCATCAGGTGAGTACCCTGTGGGGCTGCAGTCTCCTGGCCCTGCCTCCTTGGGCCCCCATGACAGTCAGCTGTCACATGACTGCCCATTGTGGGGCTCCCTTCCCCCTGGGAACATTGCCAAGCCCCAGGCCGAGTCTCTGCCACCCCCACCCTGATCTGCCTTTCTCCTCGCTGCCCATCTTCTGAGCCTCAGGCTGGAAGCAGAGGGTCCGTCTGTCCCTCTGCCCCACTCAGGCCACCCAGAACGCTGGCTTCTCCTTGCTTCTGTCAAACCCAAGGGTCCTTCCTCCCTTCTGACCGCCCAACACACCAGGCTGAAGGCTCTTCCTGAAGCTGGGTCTGCTGATGCCATGCTCTCTAAAGCCTGCTGTGGCTTCCCAGTGCTTCCTAGTCAGTTTGAGGTGCTACCCCCTGTGGAGAGCTGAGGACCACTGTGGCCCTGGCCCTCAGACAAATGCTTACACACCTGTCTTCAGGGTTGCTTGGGCCTGAGGCCACTACCCAAGAACTCACGGCCTGAGGGTGAAGCAGCAGAGGGCAGGGCTTCCTTCTCAGGACTCCAAATTGAGGGTTGGCTCCTCTGGCCAGACAGGACAGGACATTAAATGGGCACTTGGGGACGCCTCCCTCACCCCTGCTGTTGTGCCCTTGTGCTGGCAGGTGCCCCACTGTGGGGCCCGTGACGCTGAGCTTCAGAACCTAGTCACACCTGCACAATCTTTTCCAGTTTACCTTTCACGTCCCCGACCCTAGCTGATCCTACCGCAGACTATAGAGAGTGTGGCAGGGCTAGAATTCCTTTCTCATCCCATGGAGAAAAACTCAGAGGGCTGGGGCTTGCTCCAGGTCACACTAGAAGACCACGGGGCTGGGATTTGAGGTTGAATTCCAGCTCTGCCACTTAACAGCCAAGAGACCCCCTGCCCCCAAGGGCCAGCTGAGCTGCCCAGACACATGGGCCATTTCCTGGGGTGTTGGTGTGGGGGGTGTCCCTTCCTTGTCGAGGGTACCTGCGTGCAAGCAGCTTTCATGTCCTCCCCACAGGGCAATGGACATGAACGGGACTTCATGGGTGACAAGCGTGTGTACATCATGGATGTCTACAACCGGCACATCTACCCTGGTGACCGCTTTGCCAAGCGTAAGCTGCCCCCTATCCTTCAGTGTTAAATGTACTCCTGCTTGGATGGAGCACTCTCTCTGGGGTGTTCCCTACGTGCTGGGCTCTGCAGAAGGCACTTCATTTATTCTCAGCATCCCTGCAAGGCAGGGATTGTTTCCATTTTACAGACATGCAGACTGAGAATTAAGTCGCTTGCCCCATTCAAGACCCCATAAACCTTTCCAATATTATATTAGGGTAATATAATTCCACCAGAGGAATAAAACAGAACCCCTCCAATGTAGGCATTTGTCTGGTAGAAAACAGGGAATGACCAAAAAAGAAACGGCAGGAAAAATTTGATAAATAGAATATAAAATAAGATGGAATAAACCAGGTCAAATATAAAAATTGTCAAAATAAATGGAGTGGGTGAAACTGATCAATCAAAATGCAGAGACTCCTAGATGGACCTGGAAAACACAGCAACCTGCCCGCTTTGCAAATACAGGGGACAGTTGTGCCGGTGCATCTGTTGAGGGTAACTCCGCCCCAGATGTGGCCCAGGGGCACGGTTTCTGAACTGAGTCTTTCCAAGGTGCTGGAGATTTGGGCCTGTTAGGGACAGCAGGGTGGCCGCATTTCTGGGCAGAGCCTCCAGGAGGCGATGAAATCAGATTATCACCGACAAGGGCTCTAAATCCTCAGGGCAAAGTGTTTTATCTGCAGCCCCTTCCCTCCCTTGGGCCCCCTTGGCAGTTCTTAGCGCTCTTTGGCTTCATTTTGGCTGGCATGAGGCAGAGCAGTGCTGGAGTCAGACCCTTTCCAATCCTGCCTGAGGTCCCAGGCAACCCTGACCCTCCTGAGCCTGTTTGCCTTCTTTGCACATGAGGGCTGTCCCTGTCTCCCCCACAGAGGCCATCAGGCGGAAGGTGGAGCTGGAGTGGGGTACGGAGGATGATGAGTACCTGGATAAAGTGGAGCGGAACCTGCAGAAGGCCCTCCAAGAGCACCTGCCCGACGTCGTGGTGTACAACGCGGGTACCGACATCCTCGAGGGTGACCGCCTTGGGGGGCTGTCCATCAGCCCACAGGTGCGCCCCGACCCCGGGGGGGTGCGGGGTCTCCCCTGGGGACCCGCGGCAGCAGGAAGGCGGGCAGCACTGGTGCTTCTCCTGAGTCAGGGAGGGGCCGGGTGGGGAGGGCTTCCCGAAGCCACAGGGACCCGGGCCCGCCTGAGCCGGCCCCCACCCTCCCTCTGCAGGGCATCGTGAAGCGGGACGAACTGGTGTTTCGGGTGGTCCGGGGCCGCCAGGTGCCCATCCTCATGGTGACCTCGGGCGGCTACCAGAAGCGCACGGCCCGCATCATTGCCGACTCCATCCTTAATCTGTACAGCGTCGGGCTCATCGGGTCTGAGTCCCCCAGCCTCTCGGCACAGAACTCAGACACGCCCCTGCTGCCACCCGAAGTGCCCTGACCGCGCTGCCCTCCTGCTCTTCCGTGGCTCCCCGCCTGCCTCAGCCCTGCCCGCCCCTCAGAGCTTCTCCTTTTCTAACCACGGGGGTGGTGGGGGTGGCTGCCAGGAGGCGCCGAGGGGCAGGGGCCGGTCCCTCACAGGGCTGGCCTTGGGGGCAGATCCCCACTCCCCCATTGGGTGTCAGGGGTCTCTGGGCCCCTCAGTGGCTGGGGGCTGAAGGCAGGGCCCGAGTCCCAGCCGACTCACGTGGGGTTGTGGGTCCAACCAGGCCCTGCAGAAAGGTGGGCAGTTTCCCAAGGTCGGAGAATGGGAGGTGAGGCTTTGGGGGCCCAAGTCACAGGATCTGCTTCACCCTGTCTTCCTCACCTCAGGGAGGGCACGGGCAGCCATGGGCATCCGTGTGGGTGGGCCTGGGGGCCAGGTGCCACAGCTCGGCCTCCCGGGGGTGGTGGGCTCTGGACTCCCAGCCGACAGGCAAGAGCCCTGGTCCTGGACGTGACGGGTGGCCCGGAACGGCATGCGAGTGGGTTTTCCCATTTGGTATTCCCCTTCAGTGAAGCAAGGGCTGGACCTGCTTTCCCAGGGCTCCTCGGTGGTGATAAGAGCAGGAGAGGGCCCGAGGAGCCCCAAATCCATGTTCCAGCCATGGTTTTGCCTGTTTGGGGAGAGTAACAGGTTTTGGGGGAAGAATGCTTGGCTCAGTGAGGGGCCTCAGCACTGGAGGCTTGAGGGGGCTGCTGACCCTGGTGGGGAGGGGCAGAGGAAGGTGAAGCCCAGAAGGGGACCCTGGAGATGGGGACAGGTGGCCAAGCTGAGTCCTGTGGGACCTGAGGCCCCAAGTATGGTAGCCGGGCTGGCGCTCCTGGAGGTAGTTCAGAGCTCGCCATCCTGGCCTATAGGTTATATGGGTAAGACCTGGGGCAGGGGCTGGGGGGGGGGGCGGCAGGGGGTGGCGGGGTGGAACAGGGTGTGGCTACAGCCTCCACTGTCCTCACCCAAAGTTCCCAGGTCCTGACTATGCTTGTGTCTGAGTCCCAAGGGGGCCCTGACCTCGTCCTCAGCTCTAATCTGAAGGGAACACTCAGGGCCACCCAGGAAGCTGGGTGGGGTGAGCATCCACGCATCCACCCCTTCACCTGAGTGTGTTCTTAGCGATCATGGGTGGGGGGTGTGAGGAGGGAAAGCGAGCCAGCTGAGGCGTATCCCTGTCCCCGAGCAACCCCACCATGGGGCTCATGTTCACTACCATCTGGGGGTAATCTCGCATCCTCCCATGTACTCCCTTGGTGCTCCCACTCCTGGGGGACAGGAGGAAGGGTTTCAAAATCATGAACTATCAAAAAGACTGACCTCCTGGACTAGACCTCGAGGCACTAACCACGCACTTGTTCTCCGCCCCCCGCCCCCCACCCCGCCCGGCCTGACTGAAGGTACCTAACATCCCCTCACGTCCACCTGGGGCCTGCGACATGTGGGGGCAGGCAGTGGGCTCGCTTCATCACTGTTGAGCTGCTGTTTGTAGAGAACCATAAAGGCTCTTCTTGATTGGACTGGCTGCTGTGTGTTCTTGAGATGAAACATTCTTACCTCCTAAGGATTAGAGGAAAGAAGGGTTTCAGATTCACATAGCAGAGGCTGGACATCAGCAGCTGCCCCATAAATGCTAGTATTTTATCCCATTCTCAGAGTCCAGCGAAGTAGGTCATTGTTCCCATTTTACAGATGAGGCATTTGAAACTCAGCAAGGAATTTGCCCCAGGCCGCACATGTGCTAGAACCAGGCTTGAGCATAGCTCTGCCAGATGCCAAACTATGCGTTCTCAGATGCCTCAAATCTGGCAGGGGGTGAAAGAAGGAGGTGGGACCTGGGAATGTGTGGAGAGGGGAGGCAGCTGGGGGGCCCTGGCAGGGCAGCAGGTGAGGTGTGGGGGCAGTCTCCCAGCCCTGGGCTGTGGTTGGAGCATGGGGATGGGGCACAGGGCTGGTCTGGGGCAAAGGGGTCCAGGCAGGTGGAGAGCCGAGCCTGTCCTCAGCCTGCAGAGTGACCAGGACATCCCCAGTGTTGGTGGCACAGCCTGGATGGGAAGTGTTAGTGCCAGGGACAAGGACATCTGGTGTGATCTGGTGAAGATACCGGGGTGGTGGTGGGGGCAGGGGTCCAGTTGAGCCCTGTGCTGGGTATAAGGAGGATGATGAAGGCTGACAAGGGCCAGGCCCTGTTCCAGGCTCTCTGCACGGAATACCTATCAGACATCACAGAACTTTGAAGTAAGAACTATATTTATCTCTGTTTTACAGATGTAGATATGAGGCTTAAAGAGGGGTTGGTTAGTTGCTTGAGGCCCACAGCTAGTGAGTAGAGGAACAGGATTTGAACCAAGGCCTCAGCTCCAGAACTTATAAGCCATTTCCTCATCTGTAGGATGAGACCTCTCTGAAGGTGCTCATTTAAAGGTGGTTCCAGAAATAAATACTGTAATGCATGGAATGCACTGAGGCCATTTTCTTGGCACCCAGTAAATGTTAGTCATGACAATCACGATTCTCCTGTAGGTCAGGTTAAGAATCAAGGACAGTTGAAGCGAAGTGTTCAGGATCTCTTAGGATCTGTGTGGTTTGCTATTTGCAAATGATAGCCCAAGTTATAGAAACCCAGAGGAACATGCCAACTTTGTGAAGTGCTGAGGGTCTGGCCCAGCAGCCTTGCTGACTGGGTGGTTCTGTGGCCCAGGGTGAGTGTGAGGACAGGCGAGGGGAAGTCTGGGGTCAGACATGTGCTACAGAGAGAACTGGAGGGGGGCAGGCAAGCTTGGGAAAGCACTGTCCAGTGGGAGCCCACCGTGAGCAGCCCTGGTACCTGGCAGGTGTGAGATTTCTGCAAAAGACCCCATCCCGAGCCTCCTGGAGATCTGGAGCGTGAACATCTGACTTGGGAGGCAGAGCAGCTCTTGCCAGCCTGGTACACAGGGGAGTGGGCCTACCTTAGAGCCCACACCCACCATGTGGGAGCTCTGCTCTACCTGGATCTGAATACGGGGCCTTGGGCAAGTGTCTCAGCCTCTCTGAGCCTCCTCCTCAGCCATCCTGGTGAGTCATGGTCCTGAGCCTATGGAGCTGGAGCAGGTGTGTGTGGGGTTGACACAGGCGGCAGCTCAGAGCCTCAGAGGCACCCTCCCAGCTCCTCCCCGTAGACCCTAGTGCCATGCCTGGCTGGTGGGCCAGCTGAGGCCTGGGGGGAAGGGGGTTTCATCTCCCTGAGTTACAGCTCTGTTCTCCAGTTGGACTGGCTGGGGGGCACTCAGACGGGTATTGGAAACAGCAGCGCAGGGTTGTAACTAAGTCACCTGTGGGGATGCCCAAGGCTAGGCTAATGGAGCCCTCGTGGGGGGCAGAGGCAGAAATGAATGTACCAGCGGCTGCATAAACAAAGGTGGGTGCTGGCACAGGGCCCTTCCCAGCCTAGCGGGACTCCCAGGCAGATCTGAAGGAGACTTTTAAGGCCCTCCCTGGCTTCTCAGCCAAATGCTTGGGGTTTAGGGCCAGGATCTCCTCCAGGGCAGCCCACTCTTGACTTGGTTTCATTTAGCTCAGCCAACACTGGCAGGGGACACCCTGCTCTGGGCCCAGGGCCAACGTGGGACGGCTCTGTGCCCTACCCTGGGAGTGATACTGTCCCGTGATGGGCTTTGGGGCTGCAGGGTACAGCCGTTAATGTGTGGGCTCCCATCCCTCACCAGCCTGGCTTTGAATTTCCTCTGCTGTCCTCACCAGCTGGGGGACTCAGCCTCTTTGTGCCTCAGCTTCTGTACCTATAAAATGGGGGTGGATGGTACCTATCACATAGGATGGTCAAGAAGATTGAGTAAGGTTGTAGGGTGCTTAAAGCTGGTCCAGTGTGAAGCTGTTGATCTTAAAAAGAAGTCTGTTATTTCACCAGCAAAAAGGTGGGGGGGGGATTTATTTGGGAAAGGCAGAAAATTTCATCTTGGGACAAATGGAGTTATGGCAAAAACCATAGGCTAGTCCTTAACAAGGGAGAGGAACGTTATTTTATCGAGAAAGGGAGGAAGTTGGGAGGGGTGGTTTGGAAGGAGAAAAGCAGGCGTCGAGGGTGCTGATGGTTTTGCACTGGCTGGGCTGCCAGGGTAGCCGGCTCCTTGTAGGAGATGCAGTGTGCATCTTTTCCTATTGGGAGCTGTAACCCGGGATTCTTTCCTGTTGATTCTTCTCTTGGGGTCTAAGTGACCGGTCCTCCTGGACTTGCGGTCCGGAGGTGTGAGGTGAGTGCTCCCCCTTCTGGCCGCCTGCCTCCATTAGAGTGAGGTTTTCCTCTCGAAATTTTCAGAGGAAGCACTCAGTACAAGTTACTACTGGCCACCGTGATCACCATTTTCGAAATGAGGAGGCGGAGACTCAGACAATGAAGGTCGCACACGCAATGGAAAAGCCGGGAACAGCCCCAAGTCCATCTGAGCCCCCGCACCAGGGCCCTTTTTCCAAAACCAGGCCTTGTGGGCCAAGGTCTGGGATGAGAATATCTTGGGAAGCGTGGTGTCCTGCAGCCCAGCCGGACCTCTCAGCCCCTCCCTGGCTCACACCCTTACCAGCAATCCTGGGAGAGACCAATGTCGGCACCCCAGTGCCCAGATGAGACAGGGAGCCTGGGAGGAAAGACAGCCTTGGTCCTTGGATGGTGGCATCGGGGCCAGGCATGAGTGGGTAAGTGGCTGTCTGCTCGAGCTGGGGCCTGGAAAGATGAACAGCCTCCACGGCCTGCCCTTGAGATGCTCTTCAGCTGGAAGATGCACACTGGGCTTTCTGCAGCTTGAATTTCAAAAGTGCAAAGTGAATTCTTAAAAATAAAACTGAGCCAGCGGCGTAGAAGTGCTTTAGGACTTGGCACGCACCATAGCCAGAGCTGAGGTCCCTGGGGCGACCTGTTCCACCTGTTGGTTGCGCAGATGGCACATGGAGGCCCGCCTCGGGCCACTGCAGCTGCACAGGGCATGCTGGGGTACAGGGAGCAGGCCGGCCCAGCGCTGCCAGCCACCACCGCTCCGTCTATAGGAAGCGTGAGGCCCACGCAGGGCTCCTAAGAACCCTGACATCCCTGGTGAGTGAATGAACCAGAGCCCAACCTCCTGGCCTCTTCCCTTCAGTCTTCTTATAGGGGGTGGAAGGAGGGAGGAACAGAGGGGCCACGTTGCGAGCATACAGAACGTGGTGTCAGGAAGAGGCCCTGCAGGAGCCCTCCCTCCACGAGCCACACGATCTCTGTGTCTCCTCCGTTCCCTCTCTGCCCATCCTCTCTGCGGCTTCCCTGGGCAGGGCCCTCGAGCCCCATTTGCAGTCTAGGAAACCAAGGCTCGGCGGGCCACACAGCGCTTGTCTAAAGCCACATCTGGCTGAGGGGTCTCTGGAGAAAGGACGCACGCTGTGGAATTGGTTAGCTTGGGCTCAAACCCAGCTCTGCTACTGGCCCGAGGGGTGACACTGGGCAGGTGGCACCCCACCTCTTCTCTGAGGCTCATTTGTCCTTCTCTAACGACTGTGTGAGACCATGGAAGTGGGGTTGGCATATAGTCTTCAGGGTCATTCGAGGACAGAATTAGGATCCAAAGAGTGAATATGGGAGGTCCCCTCCTGACTCACTGTCCAAACCCTTGTTGCATAGATAGGAGACGGGAGAGCTGGAGATGCAGGGGCCTTGCTCCCTGCCGGAGCTGGGCCCCTGGGAGGCAGTGTAACGCGGTGGCCAGGGCTGGGATTAGCTTCCTAGTGGGGCCTCTCCCTGGCTGTGCAGCCTTCAGCGAGATGAAATCACTGCCCTGAGCCTGAGTCTTTTCCGTCGTAAGATGTGCTGGCGTAGGCAAGTGCTCAATTAATATTAGCTAACAATACTATTCCAGTGGGAATGAGGTGGGACGGTCTCATAGCCAGAGCTTTCCAAAGACGATCATCATGGCAGCCAAGATAAGGCAGCGCTTCCGGGTTCACGGCACAGTTCAAGCCCCCGGCAGCCTGTGCTACACCACCTCATCCTCACACAACTGTGTTTGCCGATGAGGAAAGGGGGTGCGGGGAGGGTCTGTCTCCCAGCTGGGATATGCTCCCCAGCTCACCCCAGAGCTTGGCGCCCAGCCACTGCATATGCTCCATCTCTGGGTGCCCTGTGGGGCGTGACCTCCCCCTTCTGGAAGGTGGGGTAGTGGAGGGTTTGCATCAGGGACCGTCTCTGGGTCTGCTCACCCCTTTCCTGACTCAAGCGTGCCTTGGCCTTGGAGCTCTGGGGAAGGTGTCACATGCAAGGGGGGAGGGGTTCCTGCCCAGCCAGAGGCCCACTCCCTTCTGGGACCCCGGAGCCAGTGTGCGCAGCCTGCTGGTCGTCTCGGTAACCGATACCCAGGCGGCCAGACAAAGTTATGGTGTGTGGCTGGGAGGCTATTTTGTCTAATATGCTAAAAGGTCTTTGGAAATTCCTGGAGCCCATCTGGTCCTAGTTACACCACAATATTGCTGTCTCTTCAACTCACAGACAAGGGAACACTTT